ACCAGGGTACAGACCAGATGCATGCGAGGGTGAGAGGATTCACCAGAAACAGAGCTAGGAACAGAACAGGCAGACTGAAGAAAATCACTGCTGTGGGGAGCACAGGGTGAGACAGGAGAGGTCTGCTTTGCCATGTGGGAATCTTGCTGGTCAGCCAGAGATCAAATCTGTGCTGCAGAGGAGCCTGCATTGACATGCTTTTCTCTCCCTTTGTTCTTTATCTTGTCCTAGCAGCCTCAAATGTTACTTAACCCAACCCTGGCAGTCAGGACTCTTCAACTATAAGCTACCTCCCTAGGCCTCATACTGAAGATCAAAAGTTTCTATTTTTGAGGCCCTATAAAAGGTTCTGCAGTTTGACTACTAGCAGGAAACCAATGCTAGTGACTGGCAAGATTGTTGCTGCAGTTTGACTACTAGCAGGAAACCAATGCTAGTGACTGGCAAGATTGTTGCTGCCCGGGCAGAGGCTATTCAGAAATATAACATTGTTGTGAGGTCCTGGGTATGAAGGAGATGCCCTACAAACCACCACAATTACACAAGACTGCCAGTGACAGCTCTTACCTGTCAACAGCTGTCCCTACCTGAAGTAACTTACAAGTACCCAAGAGAACTGAGGCATCATAGATGGGGATGGTATCAGTTCATTCTTGACTTGAGTGGACTACACTAAATTTACATTAAAATACAGATTTCAGTGTCTTCCTAGCCACACATTCTCAAATTAATAAGTTAAAATGGCTGGTGCACAGTAATTTTAGAAAAACTGAAGAGACAAAATGAATCGCTAGAATTTTCTGTATGATGCTCAGAACATATATGACAGTGAGACCTGGTGAGGCCAAGGACACCTGGTAAGTTGAACTAGCACTGCACTTCCCTGGGAATGGGGGGATGTTATCTGATAAAGAAAATGTAAATTCTGCAAACAAAACCTGAAACCTGGTAGTTTGAGGGAAATATATTTAATCCACCTACTTTACTCCACCCCACCTCCCCTTCAGTAACCCACCTTCTTTGTGATATTGCTTCCTACTTCAAATTCAGCTTACTCTGGAAATGGAACATTTCTTCCAACAAAATGTGCCTGGTGTGGTCTCTCAGTGATTAAAGACATCTGCTTAGTATGCATTAACTTCCATGCAATTCTTGCATCTCTATGTGAATATCTCTGCTAAAGCCTGATGCTGGCTGATGCTACATCCAAAAGAGGATACCTGGCTTCTTGGGATCATTGGCCTTTTAGTCTTGGTTAGTGACTATAAGATGTGGCTCAAGCATAGTTGAAAAAGAACTTAATGTTAACCCTTTGGGAAAATCAGAACAGTATACTTCAAATCTTGAGGGGGAAATACTGTATTATAATGCTAAGTCAGGTGTAATATAGTCATTTTATTGAGGCTATAGTGTGGGCAAAACTTTTCTAGGCAATGAGCAAATCTGCTTGTAGTTTGAATCTTTAAAAAAGCTCATTGTGCTTCCTGACTAAAAACTTACAGAATATTAAAAATAGGAAATCCATTATGACACGTTGAAAACATTTGCATTTTATTTTTTTTTTCCTTTTTTTTTTTTTTTTTTTAATAGAGGCATGCTTTTATTTATTTATTTGTTTGCTGGTTTGTTTGTTTGTTTTGTTTATACATGCACTGGGTACAGTCAGAAGCGCGGGAGGGTGAGAGAATTCACCAGAGCCAGAGCGGGGAGCAGAGCAGGCAGAAGGACCGAAGTACACTGCTGAGGGGAGCAGCGGGCGGCAGGAGAGGTCTGCACGCCATGTGGGACCCTCCTCTGGTGGCCGGGGAGCAGCCGGGGATCGAACCGGCGCCGCAGAGGCCGCGGGCAGCTTCGCAACCCAGCACTCAACCGCTGCGCCACCGGGGAGGCCCAACATTTGCATTTTAAAGATAGTATCACAAATGTATACATTTCAGGTTCAAATTACTTGGAATTCTATAGATTCTATATATTTTAACTTGAAGTTAAAATGCAATCAATTGTAAATTAATCCATGACTTTTTTTTTTGCCTCTAGTTATTTTTAGATAAATGAGGATAGGGGGTGATACTGAGAATTTCTCTAAGAAAGAGAATTTGCTGGGAGGATCCATTATTGTGATTTAACTCCAAGCAGCATTTTCAGTCACCACTCATTCTTACGAAAAAGAAAAGAATCCTAATGTGTTTTAAACAGATACTGAAAACCTCAATTCTATGTGCGGAAATGTTTCTTACAGGTAGATTTTCTCGCAGCCAGCTAAGAATCCAGGTCTAAAATTTTACGTAATAATGTCACAGTTCAGAATCCAAACAGTTGGGTGAAAGGAAGTGAGAGTGACTAAAAACAAAGTGAGAGCAGCCAATACATCTCGGGAAGCACTTCACTCTTGATACAATAGGGGACCTCACTGTGGGTACCACACCCCCTAGTAACCATATTTGCGGGGGCAGACCACCCAAACTATCACACTCAATACTAACTGAAAGTTCAAAAGGTTGGATTTGTGTAATACATAAAAATATATCCATTTTATATCCCGTGTACATTATCAAATGATTCATCTGTATTCTTAAAGCCTCATATTTTCTGGTTCTTGTTAAACTGGTTGAAGGAGAAAAGAGGCCGTTGAGTGTTGGCGTGGACCTATGCACCCGTACACTTGAATTCAGACAAAAAGACCCAAGGATTCATAGCTTAATTACACACCATATATGCTTCTCAACAGAAAACTGGAAAGGACGGGCAGAACAACTGTGAGGAAACCTGACTAGCTTATAAGAACAACGCAGAATCTTCAAAGATTTCAGCCTTGGAAGGATTCCTGGTTGAGAATAGGCAGCGATTCACATTCTACTTCTGGTTGCCTCCTTCCTTTTGTTTTATATCATAACGTCAACCAGGCCCCTTCGAAGGTGACGGTTGGTAACCCCCTTTCCTTTGTCTGATCTTGTTTTTCCAGTGGTTAGGGAGAGAACCCCCCACCAGCCCACCCCCACCCCCACCCCGCCCCACCCCAGGCAGCGAGGGCCTGTTTAAATCCTTAGTCTCCTCTCCCTCACATTCCAGCGACTTGAAGAGTGAGGCAAACAAGGCCCCACACTTAAAGATTTTGCTTAGTTGTCCTCTCTCTAGTGTGAACACAAGGTGCAGTTATTCTCTCAAGAGTGTGTGTTTTAAAATTCTGATGGGAGGTGACCTGCTCCAAAATTTACAATCTCTGAAACTCTAAAGGGAGAGCCTTTTTAATCTCCTGAACAGCCTTTTCACCCTTTCTACCATCGCCCCATTGGCTGTGTGAACTACAAAGCCCACCAAACGAGCAGAGGCTCCCGGGTCCCAGCTCGCCCCAGCCCGGGACCCGCACCCGCACCGCGTCTGGTCGAGTCCCGTGGACGGGCAGCGACACAGGGGCAGGTGCGCTCTGATTGGCGGGAGTTGGCACCCGGAAGCTGGAGGCGGGCCCACGAGCAGCGGCCCTCTAACGTGATTGGCTTAGGGAACATATTTGGCCTTCCCTGATTGGCCCCGAGTTGGAAGCCCAGGCAAAACCCGGGGAAGCTGGCAGTCGCGAGTAGGTCCAGCCTTCCCTGGGCGTCCCCGCCGAGGCTGTGGCGTGGCCGCCCGCGAGGGCTGCTGCAGCCGCTGTGGGTCGCGGCCCTGTTGTCACCGACCACGGTCTAGGCCACTGTCCTCTGTAGATCCAGCCTCAGCTGGGTGAGACCCAGATCGCCATCTTCCCTTGCCCGAGCCAGCTTTCCGGCTTCCCGTTTCTGTTTGCGCCTGGAACCAGCGCGCACTCCTGCCACCTCCTGCGGATAAACGCAGACATGAGGGCCCGGGCCGGGGAGGTGGGAACAAACGCACACATCTCCATCTCCCCCGCGGGGGCCGGCCGGGGGGCGCCCGCCGTCGGCCTCTCAGGACGCCTCTGCCCTTACAATCGAGCGCTCGGCCGCTTCCCCGGGGGTGGGGTGGGGTGGGCAGGCCGGCTCGCTCCCGCCCCCTCTGTCTCCGAGGACGGCCTCGGCCGGCGGGCAGGGTCGCCGGGCAGGCCCCCAGCGCGCGCAGGTCCGGTCCAGGCCGCGCCCTCGCTGCCCAGCGCTCCCGGCCGCTCGCGCGCCCCCCCAGCTGCCCTCGGGGCTCCCGCTCGGCCCGAGCGCCCCCGCGTGCCCGCCGGGGTCCTCCCGGGCCGCACCCCTCCCCCGCGGGCCCTCCCGGCCCGGCCGGCCCCCCTTCCGGCTCCTCCGCCCGGGTGCGCGCCGGCGCCTCGGGGCCGCCAGATCCACGCGTTCCTGGAGGGGCTCCGACGCGGCCCCCGGTCTTGCAGCAGCCTGCCCGGGCCCGCGGGACACGCCAGGTCAGCTCCGCGCCCCCGGGCCGCTGCCGGAGAGGCCGCTCCGGGGACGCGTCCGGGGTCGGGCGTCCGCAGAGCCGCTCTCGGCCTCCCTCCCCGATCGCCACTTCGGGGGCCGGGGCGCCCGGGTCCATCCCCGCCGCCGCTCCCCAGCCCTTCCTCGGCGGTGGGAGCAGCGGCCTCCTCGCCCTTCCGAGAGGAGGAGCCCGGGTGGCCCTTTCAGCCTCCCGGCCGCGCGGGCGCCCGTCGCTCTCCGTTTTCTCCTCACGGAGCTGCCCCGACCCGGCCTCCTCACGCCGCGGAGCGGGAGAGGCCGCGACGCCGCGGCGGCGGCCGGGGCGCTCGCCATCTTGCGTGGAGGAGGAGCCGCGGCCGCCGCCATGCGGAGAGGCCGGGAGGGCGGGAGGGAGGGAGGGAGCGGCGGGAGGGCGGGCGGCGAGCGAGGGAGGGGCCGAGGAGCCGAGTTAGCTCAGCCCGGGCGGCGACTTCGGCGGCGCCATGAGAGCGGGCCGCGGCGGAGGTAGGGCCGGCCGGGGGAGCCGCGGGCGCGGGCGGCTGGGCCGAGCGGCCCCCGGAGCGGGGCGGGGCGGGGGCGGAGGAGGCGAAACGAGGGGCCGGGTGGGGGCGGGCGGAGGTTTCCGAGGAGGAAGGAGCCGCCGCCATTTTGGGAGCTTCGAGTCAACAATAAAGGAGCGAGGCTGCCGAACGGGAGTGGCCTCGGCGGTAGGACTAGGGCCCGAGCCGCGGGGAGTTGGGTGAGGCGGTGGGGTCGCGGGAGGCGGGGAGCCCCTCGGCCGGCGTGGGGGGGTCACTCAGGCGGAGGCCCCCGGCCCGGCCGGGCTCCGGGAGGCGGGCGGGCGGGCGGCAGCTGTGTGGGGTGGGGGCGTCCGAGAGGAGCAGAATCTGGGGCTGCGGTGCGCGGCGGGGTCCGGAGGAGGAGCGGGCGAAGTACTCCGAGGCGCTTTCGAGAAGACGGGGGGATGTGGCACCCCTGAGGCCGGCCAGGATTTAGGGGGATGGTGGAAGTTATAGGGTCCGAGGCGGCCCTATAGGGGGCGGCAGGGCTATACAGCACTGGAGGACTCGGTGTAGAAGAGGACCCGCAGCTGCTTGATTGGAATAAGGCCTTGTGGGTCCAAAACAAGAAGGTGATCATGAGACCTCGAGTCGTGGAGGCAAGGAGGGGCTTTCGGATTGAAGGTTTTCTCTTTCGGGCATTTTAGGGGGAGTCCCTTTTGTTTTCTACTAGCGGAGCTGGATCCCTGTTCTTGTTGCGCAGATACGATTGCAGGGCCTCAACCCTTTTGTGTTTATGGTCACAGGGAGCTGACTTGAAGCGTAGTTTTTTTGGAGGGGTGGCGAGAGAGTCGGAGGGGAGCAAGAAATTGCTGCCCTACAATTACGGGTTCAAATTATTAGCTTTTTCTTTCTTTTATTACTCACTGGATTTTCTCTTCCACGGTCCTTTTTTCCCATCAGAATAAAACTGTCACCCAACTTGCAAGACCAAGCTTAGAGAAACTGCGCTGCTTTTGCAAACAAAGCTCTTACTGGAGATGACGATACTGTTTTGGGTGTGAAACTGTCAGTTGCTAACTACAGTCTGGGAAGTGCTGTAATTAACTCTGCAAGGGGCTCCTCCCAACTAGTCTACGTTTCGTTCGTATTTTTGAAAATGTAGAAATATAACTTGCACATCTAAATTGGGAAGGGGTAGGAGGAATATTTCCCTCTGAGACATTGCAGTGCGGGTTTCAGTTTAATTAAGAGGAGCAGTTGTCACATAATCATATTTTGGATCTAGAGGGAGATAAGTGGTCTTACGTTCATGATGGGCAGTAATGATTATATCATTTAATCTTTAGAAGTTGCCCTTTTCATCCTCTTAGTGGTTTCCAAACAAGTCGTCTTGTGTCAACTACATAATGTTGATTGTAATATAAACCTGTCAATACAGGAAACCTTTTACTGCCTTGAACCGAAATTAGGTGACTGACTCCACGCTCTGTTTAAGACGTCAGTCACATCCTGGGAGTCTTCAAAATAGAAGGCTTGGTATATGATAATCAGAATTTGCTTGTGAGCAACCTTCTTTTCAATTTAAAAAAAGACGTATAAGGAGTATTTTAGAAAATTTTTGTTTGAAAAGTGTTGGTGTAGAGCAGAAATAATCACCACTAATTAATAAACTAGCCTATTTTTGGTTAAAAATGTAAAGGAGTTAAAAGAATAAGCCCAATACAATAGGCCTTTTGTAAATTAAGTTTTTATTTACTACATTTTAAAGTAAGAATTCAGTTTGGGGCGTATTTAGAAATGGAGGAAGTTGACCTTTTTTTTTTTTAAAGACTGATTTATTTATGCATGCAAGAACTGGTGTACAGGCCAGAGGTGGGCGGGGGTAAGAGGATTCACCAGAGACAAAGTGGGGAACAGAACAGGCAAACTGACTGAAATACATTGCTGATGAGAGCAGTGGGCGAGACAGGAGGGGTCTGCTGTGCTGTGTGGGTAGCTCCCTGGCCAGCCGGGTTGGAACTTGTGTTGCAGAGGCTGTGGATAGCTTCATAGTGCTGTACTTAACCCCTTGCGCCACCAGGGAGGCCCTGTTTCTCTTTTTTTTTTTTTAAATCAACTATTAGTATTCTTTCTTGGAAACTTGATTAAATTTGCCTAGTGTTTTTATTAGCCTTTGACAGATTATTTTAACATCAGCAATTTCCTTTTAGTGTTTATTTTAAATAACACCTAGTATGTACTTTTTAAAAGTGTTACATTGAAAAATAGCTAATTTTTAGTATTCAAACTTTTTTGAATATTATATAAGCTATAGATTTTCTTGGCCATTTCTCAAGCAAAAGACTGACATTTAAACATGTCTAGTGTCGATCCCTTGACATGTTCAGTTATTTTAAAGGGTAAAAACTTCAGGGGAAAAAACAAAATGCATTTTTCTTCATAAAGTTTAAACTGCTCTAGAAGTTCAAAAGGCACAAATGTGTGTGTGTGTGTGTTTTCCTGAAAGCATAGTCAGAAGCTTACTTTACTCTTCCAGGATTTTCAGTTGCTGTCAGAAATAGAAAAATTTATTTTCTTGCCTTGTTCATCTATTATTAGTTGAGCTTGTTTTACATGAATGAAGTGATCAGAGTCATCCTGTTTTTGCTGGTATAGTTTTTTCCTAACTACATTGTATTCTCGTAGATTTACATTAATTAAAGTGTGTGATACTTCACTGAGTTGTAATGCAGTTAAGTATAAATGAATCATTGACTTTGTGAGGTGGTGGGGACTTGTAGAGAATTCATCAGGGAGGAAAGTGAAGAGATTGTCAACAACTGATGCTAATTTAATCACAGTATCTGTCTAATCTCTGGGTTGCTTTGAACTGACAATTTAAAATGTTTGAGGTTAATCTCAGAATAAGTTTGATTTTTGAGGCAGTTCGTCTTTTTGTGTCTCATCAAGCCTGTCTAGTGATTTTGGTCTATGTGCAGCTCTATCCTTAATTTTTTCATTAAAAAGAGTGGTTTTTCTAAAGGTGTTCTTAAAAAGAAAGCAAAAACGTTATTTTACCTTTCCTGTGTTTGCTAATTTAACTTTTTCTTTGTTTCAGATTGAAGTGAGTGAATTCAGATCTATAATTCAACCTTGTTAGAAGGCTTTTTAAAAAATAAAAAGTTGATTCGGTGCATGAGAGCAAGTTACTGCTGCTTACCATTCAGAGACTTAACAGGTGCTTGCCTGCATTGCAATAAAGGACTCATACATTGAGCAAGACTTATTTATCTCTTCGTTTTGGAGAGCCTAATAAACTGTTATTACAGTTTCTCTACTGACTTTCAAAAGTTTTGAAGTTTGAAAGAGGCATCTTTACAATTAATACAGCATGAGCACGGCCAGAACAGAGAACCCTGTTATAATGGGTCTATCCAGTCAAAATGGTCAGCTGAGGGGCCCTGTGAAGCCTAGTGGTGGCCCTGGAGGAGGGGGCACACAGACACAGCAACAGATGAACCAGCTGAAAAACACCAACACAATCAATAATGGCACTCAGCAGCAAGCACAGAGTATGACCACCACTATTAAGTAAGTGCTAGAATAAATAATACACATATGGGGGGGGGGACCAGGAGATTTCTTTTTGTTATTTTATTGTTGACTATACCTTAATTTAACCATTTGGATTACAGGGGACAGATGACTTTGTTTTATGGCCAGCAGTTATTTGCAATAATGTATTTCTGTCATAATTAATTCAAATTTATTAAGTAATGATCATAGGTACAGATTACATATATTTTGTGCAGATTTTTATTAAACATTTATGGATTTCATAATTAGTTTGGTGTAGAAGTTATTAGCTGAGCTTGTTATACATGAATGAAATGATCAGATTCATCCTGTTTTTGCCGGTACAGTTTTTTCCTAACAACATTGTTTTCTGGTTTGAATGGCAGTTAAACCCAATTTCAAGCTTTTTTTTTTTTTTAAAGATTTGTTTGTTTATACATGTAAGAACTGGGTGTACAGGCTAGCGGTGGGTGCAGGGGGTGAGAGGATTCACCAGAGACAGAATGGGGAACAGAACAGGCAGACTGACCGAAATACACTGTTGAAGAGAGCAGCGGGTGAGACTGGAGAGGTCTGCTGCGCCATCTGGGTAGCTCCCTGACCAGGGTTTGAACTCGGGGATTGAACTTGTGCTGCAGAGGCTGCAGATAGCTTCACAGCATTGTGCTTAACCCCTTGCACCACCAGCGAGGCCCCCAACTTCAAGTTTTAATTTTAAATACTTGCCAAACCTTCTAAACTCTAATCATACTCAGAAAATTTATCCTTTAACTTACAGGTCTCTGCTTTTCTACTTTTTTTAAAATTGAGGGTTTTTTTTTTTCCCCCTCCTTTTACACACACAATAATGAGTACTTCCATATCAGGGAACTCAGAAATTTTGAATTTTTGGAAGCATATATATCTCTCTCTGAATAATTCCAAGTCCCTTTGTTGATACAACTTTTTAGGAGTCTCATCTTAATACAGAATATTTTTTCTTTTAAATCTGAAAGCTTATAGACTTTTATCTTTATATGATTTAAGTTATTTGAATGGTAGCTGTCACTCTAAGGATTACTAGAAAATTTAAGTTGATGCCCTTTAAGATTCTCGGTTTAAGACTCAATCCCATTTGATGTTTGGCTTTATTATTAAGAATCTAGCCATATAAGTTGACTTAACCTCTAGAAATCTTTTCACATGATGAAATTAGTTCCCGGATTTAAAAGGTGTGTATTATTGTGATCTATATCATATCCATGCTTGAAAAGCACTTCCTAAACAAAGATAACTACCAGATTATCATATAGGTGTTGCTGCTTTGTGGTTCTCTAGTTAATTGTAAGACTTGATACAATTGGTATAATTGTATCAGCAGGTACAATTGGTGACTAGGGAGAATTGGCATATTATTTTTAAGGTGAATGTTTTAATTAATACAGAAATCAAAATTTTTTTGTAAATTACAGTTTATCTTGACAAAATATAAATAGGTGAGCAATATTATAGTTATTTTTAATCTTTAGGATAGAAATAAACTTTCTGTTAGTCATTTACATGTCTATATACTTCAGGGTTTCATTTTTTACTCCTCCATGTCATAAGAGTATTTTATAATTCTTTTTGAAATAATAATGGATTTTTTTTTTTCTTAATTTTCCTGGGATAAATCGTTTCTTTTCATTTGTTGTTTATGTAAATTTTAGTTTGGTTTGTCTCTTCCATGAGGCCTTCTAGATCCCATCTACTCTTCTGTTGATACTATTTAATCTCATCATTTTCTCATTTTAAATTGTTTTTACCTCCTAGCAATCCTGCGGGCAGGATTTTGTATTTGTGTCTTGTTCTTTTTTATTTGTTGAATTTGATAGGCAAGCTGGTCGACAGGACATTCAACTGTCATTTTTCCAGAGAAACTTGTATAGGCTAAGGTGAAATGTTCTAGTAGCATTGGTAACAAACCTAACCTGCAGTAGAGCCTCTTATGTAAGCCCTAACTTTAAGTAAAATAAGTATTCATCTTTTTTAATCAAGACTCTTGAGATGTTTTAGGAGCTCTAATTATATGAAAATTCATCAAATCAGTAAAAACTTAGTTTCTTATTTAAAAACATTGCTTTCTTGACCATTTTCTCTGAGATTTTTTTATTATATTGAAGCTTTTACCTAATGAAGAGAAATGTTTTTATTGTATTTTCTTTGTTTTTATTCTCATTCTTGATTTCAGGCATCCCCAGTGAGAAAGATTGAGATGTTTATTAACAGTTAATAATGAGCTCTTATTTTGTCAGACACTGTGCAAAGTGCTTTATGTAAATGATTTGATAAAATTCTTAACCCATTTTACGTATAAGAGAATGAAGTTTTAGAAAACTGCTGCAAGGTCACAGAACTAGTAAGTAGTGGAGTCAGGGCTTGAATTTAGGTCTGAAACTTTCAGAGCCCTTAATTTTTTAATTAGCAACCGGAAGTTATAGACTCAGTTGCCTATAGGAGACTGTGTTGAATGAGTGTGTACTTGTCCCTTTTAAAGGAATTTTTTAAACTCAGTTATTAAACTCTGTGAAAGTAGCTATATGGAAATTTGGAACCAGTGTTGCTAAAGCTTCTAGTTTTTTCAGAAAACCCAGAAAATGTGGTCTTCTGCGTGAAATCTCTTACTTTTTATTTTTTTAAAGATTTATTTTTATTTATGCATACAAGAACTGGGGTGTAGGCCAGAGGTCAGGCACAGAGTGGGGAGCAGAGCAGGCAGATCTACTGAAATACACTGCTGAGGGGAGCAGCAGGCAAGACAGGAGAGGTCTGCTGTGCCATTTGGGTTAGCTCCCTGGCCAGGGGTAGAAATCATGCTGTAGTGGCTTGTGATAGCTTGGTAGCACTGAGACTTTAACCCCTGTGCCATCAGGGAGGCCCGAAATCTCTTTAATTTTTATTTTATTTTTTTTTAAAGATTTATTTTTTTTTATTTATACAAGAACCGGGATACAGGCCAGATGTGCAGGAGGGTGGGAGGATTCACCAGACAAGAGCGGGGAACAGAACAGGCAGACTGATGAAATACACTGCTGAGGGGAGCAGCGGGCGAGACAGGAGAGAGGTCTGCTCGCCATGTGGGTTGCTCCGAGGCCGGCAGGGATTGCACCGGCACTGCAGAGGCTGCGGACAGCTTCACAGCGCTGCGCTCAACTGCCTGCGCCACCAGAAAGGACCCATCTCTTTAATTTTTAAATTCTGGCAACTAATTTAAAGTTATACACAAACATACTGTGTTAGTCAAACTTAGGAGTTACCGGTTGTGATATCAATAACACTATATACTGCTTTTTTTTTTTTTTTTTTAAGATTTATTTATGCATATAAGAACTGGGGTACAGGCCAGAGGCGTTGGGGCTAGGAGTATCCACCAGAGACAGAGTGGGGAACAGAACAGGCAGATTGAAATACACTGCCTTGGGGAGCAGCAGGCGAGCCAGGAGAGATCTGCTGCGCCATGTGGGTTGCTCCCTGGCCTGGGATCGAACTCTTGCTGCAGTGGCTGTGAATTGCTTCATAGGTTACATCTTAACCCCTTGCACCACCAGGGAGACCCCTATACTACTTCTCTTAATAGATTGGATTCCTGTTTGCATCTGTTCTTGATTTTTAAAATTTATCCTCTCTAGATTATTCTAAGAAGTTTTTCTAAAGTGTTTTTGTTAACTATGTTTTTAAGTGAATGGCAATATATTAAACTGATTGTGACTTTCAAAGTTTAATTATTGAGATGACTCTTTGAATTAAATGGTAATACTATGAATTCTGATACTTCAATTTTACTGTATTCTCTCTAGACCTGGTGATGACTGGAAAAAGACTTTAAAACTCCCTCCAAAGGATCTAAGAATCAAAACTTCGGTAAGTTTATTGTGGAAACTAAAAGTGAGATTGTTATTTATAATAACAGTAAACACTGTTAATTATTAAGTTCAAATGATGTAGATTATATTTGATGAATTGCCAAAAATTTCCACTGTATTTTGGAGGAATTATAAATTATAGTGATATAATGTCTGTTTATATTGTGTTAATGCATTTGTAATATTACCTAATTTATGGAATACTTTTATGGTTTTCAAGGCTTTTTTTCTCAAAATTCTCTTTTGTTTCTAGCAGTGCTATAAGATGTAAGGATATTATCCCCATTTTGCAGATAGAAAAATGGAAGCTGAGAGGTTAATTCTTTTAGCCTCGTGTTGTCAAGTAAAAGTGACTTTTGTCCATAGGGGCATTTATTTAGCTATTTAGCAATAGCTGGATACATTTTTGGTTATCATGAATGGGAGCATGCTACAGGACAATTCCTTACATTATAACAAAGACTTCTGACCCCGCATGTCAATAGTGCTGAGCTTGAAAAACCCTGGTTTAGACTAGGATATTTGTAGACAATAAGTGGTGGCGTTAGGTGGGTTTAACTTTTCATCTTGTAATTTGCAATTCGTAGCATGATACCTATGTAAAAATAATGGTATTGCGTACATTTTTTAGAAAAAATGGCCACAGGGTTGCCTTTTCCCAATGCGTAGTTTTTACATGACTTGTGTATGTTAAGAGAGGATCCTTATTCTTCAGGAATAGTTGAAATAATAAATCAAGATAGAGAGCTACTGCATATATTGGATATTTTAAATGGGGTAGATAAAGAGTTAGCCTCTCAAACTTTCTTAAGCATGCTAACTACCAAAGGAACACAGTTACATTTTTATTCTTTTGTTCATTTGATTAGGATGTGACCTCCACAAAAGGAAATGAGTTTGAAGATTACTGTTTGAAACGGGAGTTACTGATGGGAATTTTTGAAATGGGCTGGGAAAAGCCATCTCCTATTCAGGTTCGTTTCTCCTATTTTAATCTCATATGTAATAAGTCAGACTTTTTTTTTAATGACGTCTTTATTTTTTCAATGAATAGAAGAACTGGGGTGTAAAAATCCACTGGGTGTGGGGAGCAGAACAGGTGGATCCACTAAAATACACCGCTGAGGGGAGCAGTGGATGAGGCAGGAGAGGTCTGTTGCACCATGTAGATTGCTTCCTGGCCAGGGATAGAACTCATGCTACAGTGACTGGTGGTAGCTTGATAACTCTGTCTTTAACCCCTGCGCCACAAGGGAGGCCCTACCTTTTTTTTTTTTTTTTTTTTAAGATTTATTTATGCATACAAGAGCTGGGGTGTAGGACAGAAGTGCGGGGGCTGGGGAGCTTGAGAGGATTCACCAGAGACATAGTGGAGAGCAGAATAGGCAAATCCACTGAAATACACTGCTGAGGGGAGCAGCGGGCAAGAGAGGAGAGGTCTGCTGCGCCATGTGGGTTAGCTCCCAGGCTAGGGTTGAACTCAAGTTGCAGTGGCTGCGGATAGCTTCATAGTGCTGAGACTTAATCCGTGTGTCACCACGGAGGCCCTCGACATTACTTTTAATGTGTGGGAATGATAGAATGAACTAGTGTTGCATACACACATACTATCTCTTCACACCTTTTAAATGCTCTTTCAAAATCATCGTTCTCTCTAAATATTTAATGTGTATTTCCTAATAATAGGAATATTTTCTTGTATGTCTATAGTACAGTTAACCTTCAGTGATTTTAACATTAATAGCTTGATCTCTTCTGTCATTTGTATTCTAATTTTTGATTGACTCCAAAATGTCCTTATTATCACTGTTTTATCACCTGTACATGATCCATCCTAGGATCAGGTAGTGCATATAGTTCTTATGTCTCTCTTTTTTTTAAAGATTTATTTATTTATGCAAGCACTGGGTACAGTCAGAAGCGCGGGAGGTTGAGAGAATTCACCAGAGCCAGAGGGGGGAACAGAACAGGCAGACTGACGAAACACACTGCTGAGCAGTGGGTGCAGCAGGAGAGGTCTGTCATGCCATGTGGGACCCTTGCCTGTGGCCGGGCATTGAACCGGCGCTGCAGAGGCTGCCGGCAGCTTCGCAGCCCAGCGCTCAACTGCTGTGCCACCAAGGGAGGCCCAGTTCTTTTGTCTTTTTAACCTCTTTTGATCATGAGCATTTCTCCTGTCTTTTATGACATTGACATTTTAAAAATATAGGCTCCTGCCTTTTTCTAATAATAGTCTTCATTTTTCATTTGTCTGATGTTTCCATAGGATTAGATTCAAGTTCTTAGCCAGAATACTGGCAGAACTCATGTTATGGCCTCCTCTGGGTATCACATTTAGAGGTATAAACATTACCCATCGATTCTTCTTCATTGATGATTTTAATTTTGATTACCCTGTCAAGGTGGTTTTCTACTGTATGATTATTCCTTTCTTCCTCCCTTGAAACTATAATAAGCAGTCGGTGGGCAGTACCAGACAGATAGCCTCCTACTTTCATCAGTTTCCTCCCTTGATGATTCTTACATAATCTAATCTAAACTTTACTATGAACTCCCAGCTCTAGCACTCCTACCACGTTTATTTGAATAAATTCAAGAGACTCATGAATTCCTACACACACACACACACACACCCATGTTATTCTTGTGTTTAAGTTGTTTCAGATTTGGCCATTATGAGCACCTTCAAGCTGGTTCCTGTTTTGTGATGTACTCCTTTTTTGTTTTGTTTTTCACCTTTAGATAAAGAAATTTCCCATAATCTCCTACCCCTACTTATGCCCCTCCCCCATTATCAGCTCCCCCACAAAAGTGATACATTTGTTAAAACTAATAAACCTACATTTGTTCCAACTAATAAACCTAAGTTATCATAGTTCACATTAGAGTTCACTCTTGATGTGATATATCCAATGGGTTTAAACAAAGGTAAAATGACATGTAGCCACCATTATAGTATCATACAGCATAGGTTCATTCACTATCCTAGAAGTCCTCTGTGCTCCATCTATTTACTACCCCTTCTCCTTCATTTTTCTTCCTTTTTTTTTTTTTTTTTTTTTTTTGGCATATAATGATGCCCAACACTCTGCCCCAGTCTTAGAATCAGCCGTTTTTAGGAATCCTGATTCCATTTAGTAGGGAGTAGTAGTAGAGATAAGATCTGAACTCTAGATGCATCTGACCTTTTCAACAGAAAGGGCTAGGAAATATATGTTAAGTATGTATGTGCGTACACACATACATGCACATACTTGAAAATGTTTGCTGCCTTTCAGTTGATGAAGCTGCTAAACGCAAACTACTAAGGACAAACTGCCACATTTCTGAGTACTTTTTCATTTAGCAAACAAGTACTGAGTGGTCTAGAAAGTTTAGACATTGGGGATTTTGTGATGAACAAGACAAGTATTCCTGCTCTCAGGGTCTGGTAAGACAGAGAGCTAACTGTACGCATTTCAGTGTAATTGAAAATTAAAATTACACATATATGTAGTCATTAGGGGAAGATGGAACAACTTGAAAAAAGTGATCCATGTTCTAAGAAGAGAATATTGACATAGTGATTAACAAAGAGTACCTTTGTGGATGAACTGAAAAAACATTTTTTATAGCTAGAGAAGGTATCAAGGTAGGTTAGACATCATCAGGTAGGCAATTTGAATTAAGATATTATAAACACTTAGTAATCTATTTTTCTATAATGTAGTTCATGTTAGTCTATTTTATCTATAGGGATGAAAAGTGTTGTTTTTTAAAGATTGATTTATTTATGCATACAAGAGCTGGGGTACAGGCCAGAGATGTGGGGGGTAAGAGGATTCACCAAAGACAGAGTGGGGAACAGAACCGGAAGACTGAAACACATTGCTGAGGGGAGCAGCGGGCAAGACAGGAGAGGTCTGCTTCGCCATGTGGGTTGCTCCCTCTCCGGGTGGGGATTGAACTCATGCTGCAGAGGCTGTGGATTGCTTCATAGTGCGGTGCTTAACCCTTGCACCACCAGGGAGGCCCCAGGAATGAAAAGTTTTATGAGAACTGTTCTATAGGTGGTACAGTGTCTTTCATATTTGTATCTCCGGTTCTTCGCAAGGTGCATGGCAGGAAATAGATCCTCAAATGTTTGGTTGTATTTATAATTCTTTGATGGAAGTAACATTAACATCTGTCTTAGGTGAACCCACACTAGAAAGCTAAGGTTATTATCCTTGCCATTAGACCACCCATCTTGTATCCCTACTCTAATCCTTTCTAAATTGATTATTTGGGATAGCTCTTTAACCCTCAGTTTCCTGGCCCATAAAATTGAGGTAATAGTATATATCACGAAGTTGATGTGGAGAATGTGTGGTAAACATTGAAATTGAGTCTAGTACAGTGCCTGGTATTTGATAAATTCTCAGTAGATGTCGAGTTATTTCATAGTTTTGTCCAAAAAGAAGTGTAATTCATTTTGCAAACTTAATTTTTACTATACCCTTGTTGACTCTTACCGCCCACTTTTATATAATAATGTAAAATTGACTTTGTTAATAGCACCCTGACTGTTGGTGAAGCATATATAGGCAATTAACTCTAGCCATTTAGCCAATCTGACATCTACCATTTTCTGTAAAGTGGAAGTAATAAATTATTTCCAGTTTTTATTGTTGTAAGTTTATTTTAAAAATTTTTAAATAGCAAAACACTATATGAAGTATTATTTTAGATACCTTAGACCATTATTCACATTGCCTTTTCACCTAAGAATTCATGGAAAACAAGATACTGTGTCATTCAGCTTAAAAACTAGGGTTTTTAAAAAAAATGAATTCAGAAATCCTCTAGTAAAATCTAACTTCATGAATAACTGCATTCTATTTATATCTACCTTTTCTCCTTGTTATCCTCCCTTCCCCCAAATCCCCAAATGTTTCTTTTTCTTTCTAGTACATAGTTACAGTTTTATCCAGGCAATCCCCCCCTTACAACCCCCCCCCCCCAATAAATATAAAAACCTTCTTGGTCAGAGAGGTGAGTCTTCTGTATTTGAATCTTTCTAGGAGATGAAACTCAGTTACAGTTTGGTTATAACATTGGAAGATGAGGCACTAAAAACTGCTCTCCAAAGAAGACACCCTGAAAACACATGTACTGCAGATCATTCCCACGCGTCTTTCTTTGATGCAGTCATCTAGTTTGAGCTTTTTTTTTTTTTTGAGCTAACGTTGGTTTAGGTTTACACCTCTTCAGAGGTTTGTTACGCCACCCAGCACCACCACAGCAACTATAATCCACCATAGTCCATTGAGTCCCCTCCTTCCTTTATTCCTGTTCCACATAGTCCCCTTCTGGTAACCTCAATTCAACAGTCAGGTATTTGGGGTTTGTTTGGGTTATAACTTTGCTGTTCTAAAGGCAGCACTTTATAGGAATACAGACTTACTTGAACAGTCTATGAATCTATTGTTGTTCTTTATGTTGTGAAACATTAATTTGAGGTAATTGAGTGATGACAACTCTTGCTGTTTCCAGAACACAAGCATAAGTTTTGAAGACTTATGTAAGGTGATGAAATGGCAGATAGTCTACTGTTGAGGGAAACATGGAATTTCTTTAATGTTGGCAACAAAATTTCATGTCGGTCAGGAATCTCAAATTATTTTGAGAAATTTTGCCATCCGGGTCTAATAAGCATTAATAGTATATTATAAACTGTAAATAATGGTTTATTAATATAAGTCCTCTTACAAATATTCCTCCTGATAACATTTTATTATGACTTTCAAGCACTGATTTTCTAAATTCTTCTCAAAAAGTCTTTAAATGCAGCATATTTCCCCATTGGTTACTAAGGAAAAATTGAGATGTGTTCCTTAAGTTAGAGATACTAGTTTTGAAGTTACCGTCCATCTCCTTGTTTATAGATAGCAGTAAATACCTGTGATAGCCATTGCTACTTCTTGCCAAGTACCCATATATTTTTCTTCTGAAATTAAAATTCTTTTTTTTTTTTTTTAATAGAGGCATGGTTTTTTTTTTATTTATTTATTTTGTTTGTTTGTTTTGTTTATACATGCACTGGGTACAGTCAGAAGCGCGGGAGGGTGAGAGAATTCACCAGAGCCAGAGCGGGGAGCAGAACAGGCAGAAGGACTGAAGTACACTGCTGAGGGGAGCAGCGGGCGTCAGGAGAGGTCTGCGCGCCATGTGGGATCCTCCGCCGGTGGCCGGGAAGCAGCCGGGGATCGAACCGGCACCGCAGAGGCCGCGGGCAGCTTCGCAACCCAGCGCTCAACCGCTGCGCCACCGGGGAGGCCCTGAAATTAAAATTCTTAATTCTGAAATTTCAATTTTTTTAAGGTTTATTTATTTATGCATACAAGAACTGGGGTGTGTAGGCCAGAGGTGCAGGGAGAGGATTCACCAGAGACAGAATAGGGAGCAGGACAGGCAGAGCTACTGAAATACACTGCTGAGGGGAACAGTGGGTGAGATAGGAGAGGTCTGCTGGGCCATGTGGGTTAGCTCCCTGGCCATGGATAAAACTCATGCTGCAGTGACTGGCAATAGCTTGATAGCGCTGAGACTTTAACACCTGAACCACCACCAGGGAGGCCCCTGAAATTTTAATTCTTGAAATTAGGTTGACTCTCAAAAGTAGAGCAACTAATTGGAGAATTTTGAACTTGAACTACCATACTTTTGTAAGATGCCTGTCAGGCCTAGGAAATAGGAAGAATATGTTCTTTGGTTATAGGTGATAGAAACTACCTTAAGCAAAATGAAATATTATTTATGGAATGTTAGGAATATACACGATTTAAATAGAGTCTAGGAAACACTTGGAATTGGCCAAGAAATGAGGCATCTCTGAAGGAGTTAGGAAGCTATTATCCTAGGATACACTAAAACAATTTAAATTCTTCGAGTGTTCATTTGCTCTGATATCGGTCAATTTCTGCCACTTGGTTGAGCAAGTTGGCTAGTCTCTCCATTGGGGTGGGGAGATACAGTTCCTGAGAAGGAATTTAAGGGTGCTACTAGGAAAGGAAAAGGGATAGTAAGGTAACTAAAACACAGCAAATGTAAATTGGATCAGTCCCTAGACCTTATAGTAAATCATGGACTTGGAAGCTCAGTGCTAAGGTTGTGGGTGATGGGTTTTGTTCTTTTGTAGTTTTAAGATGTAAATCACATCTCTCAAGTCATACATTTAAATATATAATTCAGTAGGTTTTAGTATATTTACATTATATAACTGTGATTAAAATCAATTTTAGAACATTTTCATTGCCCCCAAAAGAAACTTAGCAATCATTCCTCAAATTTCATCCTTTATCCTAAGCAGCCTCTAATCTACTACTTATGTCTATGGGTTTGCCTAATCTGGACATTTCATATAACTGGAATCATACTACATACATTCTTCTGTGTAGGTTTCTTTGATATAACATGTTTTTAGGGATCATCCATGTTGTGGCGTGTATCAGTACTTCCTTTTTACTGCTGAATAGTCCATTACGTGGCTCTACCCTTTGGCTTACCCATTCGTTAATTGGTTGGGTTGTTACCATTGTTAGCTATTACAAATAGTGCTACTATGAATATTTATTTACAAGTTTTTGCTTGAAGATGTTTTCATTATTTTTTGGCTCCTATCTAGCAGTGGATTGCTGGTTAACATGGTAACTATGTTTAACCTTTTGAGAAACTGCCAACCTGTTTTCCATAGTGCCTATACATTGCCACTAGCAGTGTAAGGATTCCAGCTTCTCCACATCTTTACCTACATTACACATTATTTGGAGAACTAAGTTCAAATCCTGATTTCTAGTATTTCTTGCTTTGTGACTTTGGGCAAAATAATATCTGAAGATCCATTTGTCTATTGTAAAAAATAAAGTACATATCTTGAGAGGATATAAATAGCATAGAATCTATAAGTACTTAGGATAGTGCCCAGCATACTGTATGTTGTTAAATACATTTTAGTTTCTTTCTCTTCTCTCTGGCTGCTCCCTGAGATTTCCAAAGCAATTTGAACCTGACTTGAATTTTCTTACTTCCTATTTCTTAATCTAGGAAATAGTGGTGACAGACAGTGTAGATATGCTGAATTCTCTGATTGCTGGTTATAATTGCCAACATATAATACAAAATACCAGTATGTCTTAACTTACAGACTGGCTTATTTTGTATAAGGCATATATATAAGCTCTATCAAAGAACAGGAATAGAAGTCAGTGGTCTTAAGTCAAAAGGTGAACTCAGATGGGAATTAGGACACCGAAGTCTAATTCTACCCTACCTCATTTTGTTCAAGAGTTTCACACTTACAAAGGATTTAACCCAGAAAATCATTAAGAGATGCCTAGAGACCATGTAGCCCTTTTTTTTTCCCCCTTTTCCGTAGAACTGAATAGTGTCCAGGTAACCTGTTTAAAAAACATAGAAAAGAATGTACCCTTGGCAGGGGGCCTCCCTGGTGGCGCAAGGGTTAAGACGCAACCTGTGAAGCTATCCAAAGCCACTGCAGCACATGTTCGATTCCCGGCCAGCCAGGGAGCAACCCACATGGTGCGGCAGACCTCTCCTGACTTGCTCGCTGCTCCCCTCAGCAGTGTACTTTGGTCAGTTTGCCTGTTCTGTTCCCCACTCTGTCTCTGGTGAATCCTCTCACCCCCACCCTACCCATGTCTCTGGCCTGTACCCCAGCTCTTGTATGCATAAATAAATTTTTTTTTTTTTTTTTTAAAGAATGTACCCTTGGGGATAATGGGTCCCCAGAACAACTGAAGATTAACAGAATTGATTCAGAGTAGTAGGGAAGAGGTTAAAACTTAAGGTTCAAAACCTGGATTTTCTTAAACCTGTTTTCTCGCTAAGTGAACTGTTTAATGCTAGATGTATGAACAAGATAAGAACAGATTGTCACTGGGCCATTTTCATAATTTTGGCAACTATATAGAACCCATTTGACCCTGTGATTCATGTTCTAGGTAGAATGAGTCTCATGGTGAGGAATGGAAATCATAATACTATTATAATTTAGCTATTTCTACCATAATAGTTTTAAAAGAGAAATTTTTTTTGGTCGTTAACTCAGACTTAAGAATTCATTATTATAGTGATTGTGAATTTCTTTTCTATTTAGTTTTAAAAATTAAAAATTTCAGTTTTAGAAATAGAAATGTTCTGCTTCCATGTTTACACCTGTTCTCCCTGTTTAATTTCTCTCTGTATGTGTGTGTTTAATTTTCAGTAACTGTTGTCTAGGGAATTTGCCCTGAGTTAATAGGAAATACTATTAACTTTCTGCAACACACATAACATAGTAAACTAAATATGAAAATGAGGAGTCATCCTCAGTGGTGTGAACTGGAATAGAATTGAGTCCCCTTTGAGCACATTTCAGAAGAGAGAAGTTGGCTGTGAGCAGACACTGGAGGTTTATATAATATAATAAATGATAAATTTCAAATAGGGCCTGAGACTAAATATCTCTCATCTATTTCTCTTTTGTATAAGGATTAGGGTTGGCCAAACTAAAATTTTTCTTTTTTTTTTTTAAACTAAAATTTTTCATCCAGTCTCATCATATATAGTTCAGTTTTTCTAATTTTTGATTGTGAAATTGATTTTTTTCCCTCTTTACATTCAAGTCCTATTTGTGTCAGCCCAAGTTACTCCTCATTTTTATTTTATTTTATTTTTAAAGATCTATTTATTTATACAAGAACTGGGGTACAGGCCAGAGGTGCGGGAGGGTGAGAGAATTCACCAGAGAAGAGCTGGAAGCAGAATAGGCAGACAGACTGAAAACACTGCTGAAGGGAGCAGCAGGCGAGACAGGAGAGGTCTGCCACGCCATGTGGGTATCTCCCTAGCCAGCTGGGAATTGACCGCACTGCAAAAAAGGCTGCGGACAGCTTCACAGCGCTTCACTCAACCCGCTGCACCATGGTGGGGGCCCACTCCTCATTTTTATTCTTTTTCTTGTTGCTGCTTACTTTCTTAACACATATACACACACATAATCAAAGTGGTTTTTATTACATTGGGATGCAATTTAATATGCATCCTGTGAGCAGTTCTGGTAAATATTGGTTGATGTGGATTTCCTGGCTTAATTTACGTGATCTTTAGTTTTGTGAAATGCATACGTAAAATACTTAAAAGTAATACGAAGAGGTATAGTATACCTTCAGTGTATTTTAGAAAAGAATTAACTTAAGTATTATCTTTCTTCTTAAGTAATTTGCATTATCTTGTCTCTTTCAGGAGGAGAGCATTCCCATTGCTTTATCTGGTAGGGATATTTTAGCTAGAGCAAAAAATGGAACAGGCAAGAGCGGTGCCTACCTCATTCCCTTACTTGAACGGCTAGACCTGAAGAAGGACAATATACAAGGTAGTTATTTGTTTAAACTAAAAATTGTGGTTTAAAGTTTAAAGCCTGGCGCCGTGTAGACTATATTACCATGGTTTTTTTTAAGTCAGAATTTACATAAGCTGAAATTAGTATTTTACCCTTTCTTTTCGCAGCTTTGGCCTGGTTACTTTGTAAAAATTTCCATCTCTCTAGTACTTTTGTATATTAGACAATTGTGATAACATTCTAGTGAGATAGGCAAAAGAAGTATAAGAAAGTCAAAATCGTGAGAAGTTAAATTATCTGACATTGCTGCTTTATAAATTGAGAAACTGAATTGTTTCTTCTGGCAGCTATTTGCACATTTCCTTGTAGAAATATGAACTTTTTTTTTTTTAAGATTTTATTTATTTATTTATACAAGCACTGGGTACAGTCAGAAGTGCGGGAGGGTGAGAGAATTCACCAGATCCAGAGTGGGGAACAGAACAGGCAGACTGATTGAAATACACTGCTGAGGAGAGCAGCAGGCGGCAGGAGAGATCTGCGCGCTGTGTGGGACCCTCCCCGGTGGCCGGGGATCAAACTGGCACTGCAGAGGCAGCGGGCAGCTTCGCAGCCCAGCGCTCAACCGCTGCGCCACCAGGGGAGGCCCTGTTTATTATTTTTTTAAAGATTATTTATGCATACAAGAGCTGGGGTACAGGCCAGAGATGAGGGGGGGTGAGAAGATTCACCGGAGACAGAGTGGGGAACAGAACAGGCAGATTGACTGAAACACATTGCTGAGGGGAGCAGCGGGCCACACAGGAGAGGTCTGCCTCGCCATGTGGGTTGCTCCCTGGCTGGCTGGGGATCGAACTCATGCTGTAGAGGCTGCGCATTGCTTCATAGTGCTGTATTTAACCCCTTGCGCCACCAAAGAGGCCCTATTTTCCTGTTTAGATTCTTGAATCTTAGCTACTAGTAAGCTTTGAATTAAATGGTTATCATTTCAAAAAACCTTTTAGAGCCTCCCCTGGTGGTGTGCAGCGGTTGAATGCTGGACTGCAAAGCTGCCCGCAGCCTCTGCAGTGCCGGTTCAATCCCCAGCCACTGGCAAGGGTCCCACATGGCACGCAGACCTCTCCTGCCACGCCCGCTGCTCCGCTCAGCAGTGTACTTCGTCAGTCTGCCTGTTCTGTTCCCCGCTCTGGCTCTGGTGAATTCTCTTACCCTCCTGTGCTTCTGACTGTACCCAGTGCTTATATAAATAAATACATAAATCTTTAAAAAAAAAAAAAACCTTTAAATGTTTGTTACTAAGATAAGTATATGATTTACATAGCAGTATTGTTAAGAAAAAGTCTAAATCTGGAACATTTAATAGGTGTTTTTTTGGGGGGAAAGATTTACTTGGCTTTTCAAAATTAGGCCTTTTAAACTTTTTAATATGTCTCAGTGTATAGATTGCAAGGGGGCAGTGTTTCTGTAGCTTCTCAAACTCTGAAAATATGTTTTTTCTGTTACTTAATATTTTCCAGCAATGGTGATTGTTCCCACTAGAGAACTTGCTCTACAGGTCAGTCAAATTTGCATCCAGGTCAGCAAACATATGGGAGGGGCCAAAGTGATGGCAACCACAGGAGGAACCAATTTACGGGATGACATAATGAGACTTGATGACACAGGTAGGAAATGATTGATATAGTTGGCCTACCTTTGAGTATAATTTCAGCCATAGGTGTTTTTTTACAGTAACTTATTAAAAATTGTTTTTAAGAATCAAAAACAATCATTGCCGTAGAGAAATGAATAAAAGATAGGACTTTCATTCAGGAAAAAAAAAACCAAATTGATAGTAATAGATGGATATTCAACCTTAATGATAACCCTTTAGAATGTAAATGAGAAATGCAAACTAGTACAAGACTAAAAAATACTAGTAATAATGAGAGTTCGTGTAGAAGAAATAGGCTATCTTGCAACATGAGAGTATAAATTAACACAGCTTTTAAGGTGAGCAATTTGACAATGTTTTGAAATTATAAATACGTGTTTCAAGTACCTTTCTTGAAGAAATAATTGGTCAGGTGCAGGGTTGTTTTACTATAGTATGGTTTGTACTGCAAAATTGAAACATGTCAGAGGAGATTGACTAAATACATTGGAAATAGTCTGGTTTTCTTTTTAAGATTTATTTATGCATACAGAAACTGGGGTACAGGCCAGAGGTGCCGGGGGGTGAGAGGATTCACCAGAGACCGTGGGGAACAGAATAGGCAGATTGACTGAAATACACTACTGAGAGGAGCAGTGGGTAAGACAGGACAGGTCTGCACCATATGTGGATTAGCTCCCTGGCCAGAGATCCAACTCAGGCCATAGTGGTGATAGCACTGAGTCTTAACCCCTACACCACCAGGGAGGCCCTATTTACTATTCTCTTACACTGCAATTATTTCACATGATATTTAACAATCTCCTGAAGACCATTGCACACAAGCCTGGTGTGGCTTTTGTTATTCATTAGAGATTGTCCTAAAACAAGGAAGTATATACCTCCTATTTAGAACAGGTGATTTGGGAAACTATATAGGCCACCTAATGTAAAGATGAGACAAATATTTGCCAGCCAAATAAGGTGAAATGGAAATCCATATCCTAAAGCACATCTTTGCCTCTTTGTGTTATTCATACCTTTATAGCTATGGTTCTTATAAAACAAATATAAACCTTTACTATGTCCTTTTGGTACAGGCTAAAATTAATGAAAATGTTTTCTAATCTTGCATAGTGCACGTGGTGATAGCTACCCCTGGGAGAATCCTGGATCTTATCAAGAAAGGAGTAGCAAAAGTTGATCATGTCCAGATGATAGTATTGGATGAGGTAATGTCTCTTATTTGGAAAGTTACTATTTCTGTACTTTGTTTCTACCTGCTAGTGAATACAGCAGAGACTTTGTGTTTTTGACCTTTAATAAATGCATGGCTCTTGTCAGCTCAAACTAATTTGTTTATAATACATACTTTGTCCTTCAAAGGCAATAGATCATAAGCATTTTTGTGATAATTCAGCCATGTGTCTTTCTTAAGGATGCCAGATAGTTTAGGTTTTTATTTTCAGGAAGAGGAGTTGCTGAATAACCTCAAAACCAAGTTCATTTTAAGTCTTCTTCCATTCAGTGATGCCCATTAAAAAAGCATGTAATGTGTCTAACTCTTCATTTAGCAAGTACTTTTGTTTTTTAGTTTGTTTTGTCTCTGTTAGATGTATTAATCAGCTAAGTGCCTTTCAAGAATTTATTCAACTCTGTATCTTTTGACTCCTCAGCGTTGTATACATATATTAGTGTTGATGTTTTATTTTTTTTTTTTTTATTTTTTTTTATTATTATTTTTTTTTGTTGGTTTGTTTTGTTTTTGTTTATACATGCACTGGGTACAGTCAGAAGCGCAGGAGGGTGAGAGAATTCACCAGAGCCAGAGCAGGGAGCAGAGCAGGCAGAAGGACCAAAGTACACTGCTGAGGGGAGCAGCGGGCGGCAGGAGAGGTCTGCGCGCCATGTGGGACCCTCCTCCAGTGGCTGGGGAGCAGCCGGGGATCGAACCGGCGCCGCAGAGGCCGCGGGCAGCTTCGCAACCCAGCGCTCAACCGCTGCGCCACTGGGGAGGCCCATTAGTGTTGATGTTTTAAAACAAAGTTACCTTCCCATTTGGTCTGTGTTTTAGACATTTAGATCAGGTTGCTGATGTTATAATTCAAATCAGGTTTTTATGTATGAGCAATAACAAAACATTTTTTACTCACTATGTTAATTGCCTTGCATATTTTTTCAATTAATTTTTATAACAATCCTATAAAGTAGCTTACAACCTAATAGTAAGCTATTTTGGTTCCATTGGCCTGCCTCTAGTGTTGTAGAGAATGTAATGTTTATACCCAGGAGCATTGGGTGAATGATGTTCTTGGATGATACCTTACTAACCAAAAACCTAAGACATTTCTTTATTTCTTTGTTTTTTCTTTGTATTGCAGGCAGATAAATTGCTATCACAGGATTTTGTGCAGATAATGGAGGATATTATTCTCACGCTACCTAAAAACAGACAGATTTTATTATATTCTGCTACTTTCCCTCTTAGTGTACAGAAGTTCATGGTGAGTATAAATCTATTTGAAAGCAGTACCATCCTGTTGCCCATTAGTACACCCTTACCCATTTTGTTACCAGTATATACTTTACACTGATTATTTCAAGTTTTGGCTTTTCAGCTGAAGGTCTGTTATGCATAAATTAATTGATTTTTTTAAGCTATAATATTAATTTGGTTAAATTCTTCACCCTTTAATTTTTGGTGTTTGACTGCCATAGCCATTGATGCTAGATAAATTGATTACAGCATTCTCTTACATACAAAGTACAGCTGTAACTTAGTTACAAAATTAAATCTGAACTCTCCCTTTTTATGGTTGTCTCTTGACAGTTGTGGCACACTTAATTTTGAAAAGAGATACATCCCTTAAGAGTTTATCAGACAGGGCCTCCCCAGTGGCGCAGGGTTGAGTGCTGGGTTGCGAAGCTGCCCGCAGCCTCTGCAGCGCTGGTTTGATCCCCGGCTGCTCCCCAGCCACCGGAGGAGGGTCCCACGTGGCGCATAGACCTCTCCTGCCGCCCACTGCTCCCCTCAGCAGTGTACTTCGGTCCTTCTGCCTGCTCTGCTCCCCACTCTGGCTCTGGTGAATTCTCTCACCCTCCCGTGCTTCTGACTGTACCCAGTGCTTGTATAAATAAGTAAATAAAACTTAAAAAAAAAAAAAAAGAGTTTATCAGACAGGGCCTCCCTTGTGGCACAGGGGTTAAAGTCTCAGCACTATCAAGTTATCACCAGCCACTGCAGCATGAGTTCAATCCCTGGCCAGAGAGCTAACCCACATAGCGCAGCAGACGTCTCTTGTCTCACCTACTGCTCCCCTCAGCAGTGTATTTCACTAGGTCGCCTATACTGCTACCCACTCTGTCTCTGGTGAATACTCTTACCCCCTGTACCTCTGGCCTGCTCCCCAGTTCTTGTTTGCATAAATAAATAAAATAAACCTTAAAGTTTATCAGACAGTAATGTGTAGGATATGTTTTAAGAGATTTACTCTGCTTTCATTTAAATATGACTTCTTTCTCTCCCTCCAACCCCCGCCACCACCAGAATTCCCATTTGCAGAAACCCTATGAGATTAACCTGATGGAGGAACTAACATTGAAGGGAGTAACCCAGTACTATGCTTATGTAACTGAGCGCCAAAAAGTACACTGCCTCAACACACTTTTCTCCAGGGTAAGTAGTAGGCTTTAGTTCCATCACTCAACTCCAGTAAAATAGACATTTCTATCCTTTTTCCTCCTGTAAATATAAAAAACAATCCTTAGCTTTTCCTACATAACAGTGTAACTTGTTCATCTGAATTTGATACTGTGTGATTGACAAGCCATAGGCACTTTTAATTTTATTCTGAAATAATTTGACCTTTCAGTAGATACTCATGTGCATGTATTTCATTTTCAAATTCACATATTGACAAAATATATTTGTAACCCCCAAACCAGTATGTTTGTAGTCATTGTGGATATGCATAGTATAACAAAAAATTTTTGAGCAGTCCCCCTGTCCAGCTCAAGTCAAACAAGGCAACACTGTGCCATCTTTCTTCAGTGCTCAAACTATACACAAATGTTCCTTTTATGGTCTAATGCACATTCGCCACAGCATAGTTTCTGTTGATGATTTCATTGTTTAAATGAGCATAGTTTTGCAGTGTGCTGTCCAGCACAATAAGGCTGCATAAAAAATGTGTATTAGATAAAATTCATAAAAGTATGAGTTATAATGCTGTTGGCAGTGAGTAAATAAGTTGTCTTTAAACAGTAGCACATATTAAAAGAGATTATGTATTGATGAAAATGTTATGACCAGAGGCTCACAGGAACTATTTCCCCTGTGAGCAGTGGTTCTGTATTCACAAATTCCATGTTTAACAGCAACTATATAGACAACAGCAACCACAAATAATGAAAATCAACTGTTTTACTCTCGTTGGCTTTTTTGTGGCCCTTGAAACAGAAGTACATTAAAACATCTGCAAAAAAAAAAATTATCTGCCACTATTACATAAACATAGTGTTCACAATTTTTAGACTTTTTGTTATCATGCAGTTCTAAGTCATAAACCAAGCTTTTAACATGTATTATTTGCCAGTCAATATTTTCATTATTTGGCAAAGTAAATGAAGGTTTCTGTTTTTCTTTCTCATGTCCTCCTTCCCATGCTCAGCTTCAGATAAACCAGTCGATCATTTTCTGTAACTCCTCTCAGAGAGTTGAATTGCTAGCCAAGAAGATTTCTCAACTGGGTTATTCTTGCTTCTATATCCATGCTAAAATGAGGCAGGTGAGTATAAATATAAAACTTGTGTGAACTTTTTTTTCCTTAAGTATTTATTGTTTTTGTTTTATTTTAATGCTCCTCCAAATCCCCTTAATTTAAAAATTCCTTAGATGAAGGACCTTCATTTTAACCTCTTATGGAGTTCAGTTTTCTAATTATAAAATAAGGGTAACAGTACTTATCTCAAAAGGTTGTTAGGAGAATTGAGGTGTTTGAGTTTTGTGGGGTTTTATTAAAAGATTTAATTTATGCATGCAAAAGCTGGGGTGTAGGTCAGAATTGTGGGGGGGTGAGAAGATTCACCAGAGTGGGGAGCAGACCAGAACTATACTCCTGAGAGGAGCAGTGGGTGAGACAGGAGAGTTCTGTGCCACGTGGGTTAGCTCCCTGGCTGGGGATCAAACTCTTGCTGCAGTGGCTGCTTATTGTTTCATAGTGCTGAGACTTAACCCCTTGTGCCACCAGGGAGGTCCTGTGTGAGTAGTTTGTAAACTATGATGTATGATACAGATGTGAGATTATTTCCTTCTTTCTGAAGGTGATCTCTAGATTTGCACTATTTAATATAGTGAACATTAGTCACATGTGGCAATTTAAATGAGTTAAAATTAGGGCCTCCTCGGTGGTACAGTGGTTGAGTGCTGGGTTGCGAAGCTGCCCGCAGCCTCTGCGGCGCCGGTTCAATCCCCGGCCACGGGGCAAGGGTCCCACATGGCGCGCAGACCTCTCCTGCCGCCTGCTGCTCCCCTCAGCAGTGTACTTCGTCAGTCTGCCTGTTCTATTCCCCACTCTGGCTCTGGTGAATTCTGTCACCCTCCCGCACTTCTGACTGTACCCACTGCTTGTATGAATAAATAAATAAATATTTAAAAAAAAAAAGGTTAAAATTAAATAAAAATTCAATTCCTCAGTCACACTAGCATCATTTCAAGTGTCCCATTACATATGACAAATAGCTACTGCATTGGAAAGTACAGCTAGAGAACGTTTACATAATTGCAGAAGGTTTTGTTGTGCAACACTGAACTAGATTCTTAATTAAGGTTGCTCCTGATCCCATATATTTTTTTCTTTACTATTTGCTTTAAAGGAAAGGATGAATCTCTAAATTTCAGAACTTGATTTAACACAAAATCAGAATTATACCAAGGCATTTGGGATGTGTGCGTGTGTATACATTATGAAATCTCATGAAAAGAAAGTGGTTTCTGTACCAGGTTGAAGGGTTAAGAAATTAAATTGGTTTTCAAAGAAACTATGTCATGGATGAGATACCATATTGTAAGCAATTAGTATGGAAGATTACCACAGGAAATGAATATTAAACTGAAGGGAGTATTTCAGGATGGAAGAATGTTGCATTGAAAAAGATCAGTTTGGCATATGCTAGATTGATCACTTTTTTCTTTTTTTTTTTTTTTTTTTTTTAAGATTTATTTATTTATTTATACAAGCACTGGGTACGTCAGAAGCGTGGGAGGGTGAGAGAATTCTCCAGAGTCAGAGCAGGGCACAGAACAGGCAGACTGACGAAACACACTGCTGAGGGGAACTGTGGGCCCGGCAGGAGAGGTCTGCACGCCATGTGGGACCCTCGCCCGGTGGCCAGGGATCGAACCTGCGCTGCAGAGGCTGCAGGCAGCTTCGCAGCCCAGCACTAAACCGCTTCGCCACCGGGGAGGCCCTCGATTGATCACTTTTGACAAAAGAGTCTGTAGAGTCACAGTGTATGTGTCTTTGTTTTTGGTTTTGATTGGAAAGTAGTTTTTTTTATAGAAGTAAAATAGTAAATATTAGGTTGTCTGAAAAGCCATGATAAATTTTTTGTTTTTCTAGCAAAAATTTGTCATGACTTCTGACAGCCCTAGCCAAACTTTTGGCATCTTCCTTATGTGTATTGGGTTGGCTTGTCTCATTTGTGTAAACATTTTGAGTATAAATAATTGTTTGGATAGGAGAAATGACAATGGAAAACATAAGGGGCCATGTGTATGGGTTTTAATTAAATTCAAATTCATGGCTTTGTCTTCAGGAACATCGAAATCGTGTGTTTCACGATTTCCGAAATGGCTTATGCCGCAATCTTGTTTGCACTGGTAAGTGTTTTTCTTTCTTTAACCGTTGTTTTGCTAAATTCTGCTCTGCTTTGTCCACATCACATGGTAGAGTTTATGACATAGTCTTGCTCAACCTACTACCAATTATAGAAATTCTGAAGTTGAGAATGGTAATTAACTTCTGAAGATAGATCCCATATCTGAAACTGTAGACTTGTTCTGCCACTCATACCTCATTTCTGCCTTCTGTATTGGTTTTGGGGTGTGTGTGCTTTCTGCGTAGTTTTAATGTATGGGAATGAATTATATATAGCTTATGCAAATTAAGTTAAGAAACTGTTTATGTTTGGGAAATTATTTATCATGTCCTTCCTGTTTTTTCTCCAGAAGCAGACTAGTCTTTATTTTGGTGTATTTCACTGCATGAAGAAAAAAATATAACAAATTGGGGAGTCAGGCAGGCAGTCAGAGCAAAGGAAATAAATTCAGTCTTCTCCCATCTCTACACTGGGAATATAATCTTAGAATTGGTATGAGGTTAATCTAAACTAGGTTTCTGGTAGAGAGAATAACCTGGGATTTTTTTTTTTTTTTTTTTGAAGATTTATTTTTGCATATAAGAATTGAGGTATAGACAAGAGGTTGGGGGGGTGCGAGGATTCCCAGAGACAGAATGGGGAGCAGAACAGGCGGATCCACTAAAATACACTGCTAGGGAGAGCAGCAGGAGACAGGAGAGATCTACTGCACCACGTGAGTCAGCTCCCTGGCCAGGGATCAAACTCAGGCCACAGAGACTGGCAATAGCTTGATATCGCTGAGGCATGACCCCTGCGCCACCAGGGAGGCACTGAACCTGGGATATTTTTTTTTTTTCTTTTTTTAAAGATTTATTTATTTTTATATTACAAGAGCTGGGGTATAGGCCAGAGGCGGGAGGGTGAGAGAATTCACCAGAGACAGAGCAGGGAGCAGAACAGGCTGATGACAGAAATACAATGCTGAGGGGAGCAGCGGGCACGAAAGGAGAGGTCTGTGGCACCATGTGGGATTCTCACCGGCTGGCCAGGATAGAACCCTCACTGCCAAGGCTGTGGACAGCTTCACAGCACGGCACTCAACCTGTTGCACCCCCGGGGAGACCCAACTTGGGATTTTTTTTTTTAAAACAAGTAATTGAAGTGTACGTGCACAGAGAAATTAAGTGATCGTACATATATTGAATTAATACACTTGTGTTTAGTTCGTTAGCAGTTCAGACCTTTAAGTATGAAGTACTCAAAATATAAAATAACTGATTTAGTGAAGAAGATACTAGCCTCCTAGAATTTTAAGATTAGAGTCCAAATCCTATCATTTTTAATCTTTAATATGATTTTGGGCAAGTCATCTTTATGCCAGTTTTCAATCTGTAAAATGAGGTGACTTTATAAATTCTGAATAAATATTTGTTGTAACTTATTCAGTAAACAGCTATTCCTTGATTTTTAGCAATAATTGTTTACTATGCCCTAGGCACTTAGCAGATGCATAAAGAAAAAAAAACCAACCCTGCTTGGTGTTATATATACTTTATCATAATTAAACATTTATACACAGACACATGCTTCCTGTACTTTGGGAACCTGTAATGTAGAAGGGAAAATGGTTCATCGGTGAAATGTTTAGAGCTAAGCAAATCCAAAAGGTATTGGCAAATCCTAGACAATTTTTTTTAAACTTTCTTGGGACTGGAAAAAGGTAACTTGTAACAATAAGTTGCTTACTATAATGTGCATAAAAGGCATGCCAGTAATTTGCAAATACATTTGAATTGCTGAATGAAGTGTAAATAAACTTGGGTTACACTAGAAATATGTTAGAATATTAAGGTACCAAGAAGCATTTTTAAATGGAAAAATAACAATGGAGATCACTTTTTTCTTTTGCTAGATTTGTTTACCCGAGGTATTGATATACAAGCTGTGAATGTGGTGATAAACTTTGACTTCCCAAAGCTGGCAGAGACCTATCTCCATCGTATTGGAAGATCAGGTGAGGGAAAGGAAGGAAATGTTCCTTCATGGAAGTTTTTTGAGACATTTGATCACTAAATTTTTGTTCCTTTGTTTAAGGATGTGATAACAATGCAAACAGTGAATTATAACTAGTTTCTTTCAGTACTTAAGAATAGTTTGTATTTCTTCTAGAGCATTTATTAAGTTAAAACTGTACAGATTGCTTAATTTGAGATAAAATTCACAAATGAGAACCTCTCTCTTGTAATTAGGTGGTGCAGTATGTAACTGCCCTGCTTTAATGTATGTTTTGGCAACTTTGACACAAATGAGCATCCATCTTCTCTTTTGAAAAAAGTAAAATAGAGTACTACTTTGGGTGATGAAACCTGAAATTATAATACGTATGAAACCATGAAAAGTAATTTCTTGCACTCAGAATGGCATTGAACAGAAATAAATCCTGTTTAGTTTTATTGCTTAGAGACTTGATCATGCACATTGATCCTTAGCTTTTTGTTTATTAAAATCTTTTTTCGTTAGGTCGCTTTGGTCATCTTGGCTTAGCCATCAACTTGATCACATATGATGATCGCTTCAACCTGAAAAGTATTGAGGAGCAGCTGGGAACAGAAATTAAACCTATCCCAAGCAACATTGACAAGAGCCTGTATGTGGCAGAATACCACAGCGAGCCTGTAGAAGATGAGAAACCTTAACAAGCATGTGCGTACCTTACAGAATAGTTAAATGAGCAGAATGTTCCGGGAAAGAAGAAAAGAAAATCTTCTCTTGTGGAAATTTGATGTCCCACCATATACTAACAATATAGGGCCATGTATCAGTGGGCATAAGTGCCAGTAAATAGAAGGTATCTCTTGGGCAAGTTGTGATCTCATTGGAGAATCCATAAATATTGTGCTTGAATGCAGTCTTCCTAAGTAATGACATACTTGCAGTACTAAGACAAAATCAGACTCCCAGATTTAAAAAACCTTTTTAGCAGTTTTCTGCTAAAAATATTTTCTGTTTTTTATCACTTAGTCATCCCTCTGTTAGAATTCACTCTTAATTTCTAACGAGTATCTTAAATCAGGTTAAGTTACCATAATATCTTATTACCAAATGTGTCATCAGGTTATAAGAATAACTTTTTTTTTTATTTATTTTTTTTGAAGATATCATTTATTTTTACGTAGAAGAACTGGGATATAGGTCAGAGGTGCAGAGGGTGAGAGGATATACCAGGGACAGAGTGGGGAGCAGAACAAGTGGATCTACTGAAATACACTACTGAGGGGAGAAGCAAGGGAAACAGGAGAGGTCTGCTGTGCCATGTGGGTCAACTCCCTGGCTGGGATAGAACTAGTGCTGCAGTCGCTGCTGATAGCTTCATAGTGTTGAGATTTAACCCCTTGCGCCACCAGGGAGGCCCCACAAAGAGAACTTTTTAAATGCCCACTCTTGTTTACTGCATACACTCTCATCAACCTAAAAGAATGTAAGCTGCATTTTAGTTTTTTCTTAAGGAAAATCTCATTTAATTTGAGAGAAGATAGTTTGCAAGTTAGCCATGAACGTTGAAGTTTTCAACTTACTCTTTAAATCTTAAGTCCTGTCTTCCTCCCCCACCCACCCCTGGCAATTTAAATGTCAAGCACAAACCCCTCAAACATAAAACTACCCAGTGTTTGCTAGTATATTGGCAAGCTAGTGAGTTCATGTAAGGTTAAAAAAAAAAAAAAAATTCTTAATTGTAATGGATTGTTGCTGCCTGTTATAAGAACTTCCAGATTCATTCTGTCTCTGGGATTCCTAGAAGAAGAAATTCCTTTATTCTGACTGGTGTCTACAGTAGGGGAAAAAACTCAGTGGAAGCTATTAAAACATTTGGATTGGGGGTTATGAAAATTCATACACCCTAGTTCATTGCTTTCACAGATGTTAATTTTAGGTTTCTTCCCTCTTTCTTCAGGCTTTGACAAAACTACAGAAGGCTCTTTGGATCTGTGACACATCGTTTTTTTTTGGGGGGGGGAATGCTCTTCTCTTTGTGGGTTTTTCATCTTCTTTTATTTTGGAACTATGAAGACTTTAAAGAGCTCAGACATTTTTTTTTTCTTTTTTTAACTGGTGAAGAGAAAAAAGCTGAAAAAGAAGGAATTTACCTTTTTTGTTCCACTTGTTTGCACTGTGTGCTGACTGAACATTAGTTGCACTAACTGCTGGTTTTTAAAAAATGTTTCTGGGGAAGGGGGACAAGGAAGGAGGAAAAAGAAGAGAAGGGGAGAAACCCTAAAAAGAGAAGAATCTTGATGAACACACAAGCTTGTCGAAGATTTCAAAATTCTCCAACAGCTGACTCTGAGTGCATTTCAACTTCTCCCTGATTACTCATCCGGTTTTTTAAGCCTGAAGAGCTTATTACTTATTTGTGCGAAGTGCCTTATGCTATGAGACCATTCAGAATATCATCTTTTAGACACAGCCCAAGGAATTGACAATACTGGTTTTCTTTTTACTTTCTTTTAAAAATTTTTGTCTTCATTTTGTTTCAAGTTGAAGTCTCTTCCCTTTCTACCTGATACTCAAGCCAGGGGCTGGAAGATGAAACATATTAGTAATGTTAAACACCATTTTCTTTTCTTTATATGGAGGAGTTGATATGCAACTGCAGTTCATCCGCACTGTAAATACATGTATTTAAAAAAAACAATCCCAAGTAAAAATTTCTTCTGGGCTGAGTAGTTACAACATCATCGCTCCCAAAGGAAAGAGCAGTCTATCATTGCAGGAGCCATATGACAAGCCTTTGTGCTCTATCGCAGAACACTAAAGACTGGTTTACATACGCCTCCATTAGCAGTTATGGCACTTGATGTGTAGACATGTCAGAGCCTTGACCCTCTTTCCTCTGTGGCAAAGCGTGTCCCATAGAAAACTGGGTGTGTATACTTGTATAAACTTTGTAAATAAGTTTTTTTCTGGGTTCATATATATATATACATATATATATATATATTTTTTTTTTGGATGAAGGTTGCTGGGGTTAAGGGGATTAGAGTGATTATGGGAGCAGCTAAAGATGAGAGGGGCTCAGTTTTCCGCAACACTAAATTCTAAAAAGTACTTTTGGCCTCTTATAGAGAGCAGATCTTTTTGGGACCCTCAGTTGGAAAAGGGACCCTGAAGTCTGAGATTCACTGTTTGCTGTCACACTGTCGAATCTAGTACCTTTGGAGGAGGCCTACCAGAGAGCAAGAAAGCTTCAAAAACCCATAATTCAAGATGTTATTTTTTAGAAGCTCTCTCTGATTTTGCTTCTTCCCCCTTTTAAAAAGTTTGAGGAACTTTTCAAGCTTGGCAAAAGGGAACAAGATTAATCTGTCTTGCAGTGGGAATTCTATGAGTGGCAGTGTCTTTGAGCAGTGTATGTATAAAGCATAGATTTGCATTTCAGAATATTAGCTGGGACAAGCTTTGGTAAGGTTAGCAGTTCTGGGGCTTACTTTCTGTGGATCACCTCCTGTACTGTGTATGTGTGTGTGCGCGCGCGTGCGTTGCCCTCTGCCTATCTTGATACATAAATTCGCAGGAATGGGCAACCCCTGAGAGCTGTTAACTTTCATGCTACAGAAAGCTGCTTGCCATCCTCTTGCTTTGTGACAAGAATTACCTGTCATTTTGCATTGTAAATTGCTGGCAAATGCTTAACAGGCAATAGTGTTGCTTTAAATTGTGCCCCTCCCAACATGCTTGATGTTTGGCCTGATCTCCAGGCAAAAGGAGTGAGATGAATCAAAACCAGTGAACTTTTTTTTTTTTTTTAAATGTTTTTAATTCCCTTTTAACCCAGTGTACTAGGTCAATCAGGAGGCATCTGGGGAAGGGGGGAAGCAAAAAGTTAAAAAGCTTTTGAGATCCATATTCCATTGTTTTTGAAAACCCTAAAATAAAAGTCTTGCATATGCTTTCATGCTTAACTCACCCGGATGAAGAAATCAGTTATTCCAAGTTGCTTTTTTGACTCTGTCTAGTTCTAAACAAAATAACTTGTGACTCACCCAGAATTCCTTAAGGATCAAAATCCTGCAGATGCCTCCTGATCAGACATAGCCCTGACTCTTTAAAAATTGTAGCAAGAGCTGCACAGTACATACCTAAAACAGAACAAGCTCATTTATTTGGTATCCAGACCATAGTTCAATCTAGCCCATGTTGCTTACTAAATACATATCTTAAGGAAATAACTTTTTCCAGGGAAAAGTTGGGGGAGGGAATTTAAAAGGCATCAACTTTTGACCAAAAAATCGTGCCCTTGTACTGATGCAGCTCTTCCCCCCCCCAACCCCTGGCGAGAAAAGAGGGATCATTTATTATACAAGATAAAGCAAGAAGCAATTTTGTATCTCGCTAGAGTGTGTGTGTGGGTGACTGACCAGCGCAGTCTCCTTTGCCAGCCTCAGACTGCTCACCCAGTGCCACATGTCTATGGGTCCCTCTTAAAGCACAGACTTAAATTGAAAGTATTACTGAAGTACAACCTCTGATGAGGAGTGGCACTTAAACTATCTGGGACACCACTATTGGACAGTCTTGTAGAGGCAGCTGTCCAGTTTTGGTGCTTAACTTTTGACTAGGAGTTGTTGAATGGAAAGATGCTCTAAGGACTAGGTCAAATCCTGGTCTTTTTTTTTTTTTTTTTTTTTTTTAAACACCTCCCCCCTCGATAAGGAGCATTGTTACTATTGCAAATTGTTTTTATATTCTTTCCATTATTTGGTGTTCATTTTAAGTGATGACCTTTTTCCAGTGGTTCATTTGGATGAAAATTATTCCCTATTTTTAATATTTAAATTACGTCCAACTCATGGTTTAGCCTGTGGTTGTATAGTTGTGTAATGGGGTTTTGACTGTTACACACCTTGCTGCCTCTAGGCCTGTTTTTTCTTTCTTCCATGTGTTCCAATGGGGAAAACTTTCTTGCCTTTCCCTCAGGGATGGGATAAAGTTACTCAAAATTATCTTCCATGGGAAGAAATAAGAGAGAAGGAAACCTAAATATGTCTAAATTATTTTCATGTTGATTCCAGTGTCATCAAATGGGTTGGCCCCAAAGGCTGGGGGTGGGGGTGGGGTGGCAATTGGTTATCTTATTTATTTATTTTTTTTTTTTTTCAGAATGAGATGGGAGCATCTTTCCTTTGCCACGTGCTTTGTGTTTGATAACATCATGCTTGGGTTAGAACCAGACAACTCAGCACAAAGCCTTGATTGTTGGAATCAAAACATCTCATTCTGATGACTTGTTTATTTTTTTTTTAATAGGGGTGGGAGGGAGATTACTATGCCCCAAAAAGGGAGGGTGTCTGCACTAAGGATTTAGAGACACTTTGGAAGCTCATAACCTCATGAGAAACTGCCTTTAGCCACACTCCTGACCTTATAGATGAGTAACAAAAAATGAACTAAGTTTTTGGGAATTAAGCCATGTTTTAATTTGCTACTTTTGCCAGCAGTCTAGATATCTTAAAAATTGATAGGGTGGAATCATTTTCAGGCAAAACAGCTATTAAGCAAAATTAGTGACCTCGTGGCCACTAAAGTTGGTCAGTTTTTTTGGTGGACTTCAGTTGATATTGGCAAGATTGTAGATCTATCTACTGTATATCCTTGAAGATAGTTTTTTAAAACTCCCAAAGAGAACCTCCTGAGTTAAAAACTCATCTTTGGGGTAAAGTTAAGTGACCAAAGGTTAAAACAGTTTATGAGGTCAGAGGGAGCTAGCCTGATGCTTGGACTCTGCCCCTCCACAGCTGATAGACTCCAACAGAAGTGTATTTAAATTCTCCAGTAGACAATACTGGGCAGGGCAAGGGAGGGGATAGGGTTGGGTTATTAAGATACAGACTTCTGTATTTTAACCAGAGGTTGTGGGGGAGGGTTGTCTGGAGCAAACAAAGTCACTGTTCCCTTTTTTGAAAACAAAACTAAAACTTGAAAATTATTTTTTGTTCAGTAAAAATGGGAGACAATTCTAATATCCCTAGTCACAAGGGATCAGTTCCACTGAGAAGTGAACAGTGGAGACTCAAAATTTTGGAAACATTTGGGGAAAGGGAAAAATTGGCATTCTGTTAATTGGCAAATGTTCCAGTGGGGCTGTTTTTGTTGGGATGTGTTATGTTGTATGTGCCCGTATATGGACCAGTCTGCTAAGTTATAAGGGTCAGAAAAGATGGTTGGTAAAATCTTGATTTTTTTTTTTTTTTGTTAATTTATCTCAATAAAAGCCCACTGGAACTCCAAATGTGTGTGTCGTGTGTCCTTAGCAGCTTTCAGCATACTCGTGGTTTATGTAGGAGTCCTTGCATTTAGTGGTGTTTTATTGAAGTGTACATTACCATGAAGCGCTGATATTCTCAACACTGAGCCCAATTGAAAATCTGAGAGCACCTTCCTTCAGCCCAGGCATCGTCCCACCATCCACAAACCACACTGTCTGAACAACCAAGGTGATCATTTGAAAAAGGAGAGATGTTGGTCCACAAGCTGTCTAGGGGAATTAGTTACCTCCCAGAAGAAGGGCTTTCAGATGATGGAGAAAACAAAACATGCCCACGAAAATTACTTAGGAGTAAGTCTAACTATGAATGGAATTTGTACGCTGAGAAGAAAACACTGAAAACCCAAGACCCAAATTTGAGAAGCTCAACACCCCTGTCTTCCACCCCATTTAACAAAAGCAGTACCTGTATGCTGAAAGCTGTGAAATAAACCGGTAAGAGAAGCCAGGCTAGAGAGAAGTTTCCATGTTCACGGGGTGGGAGATAATTGTTATGTCAATTCCACAATTTGATGTATAGATTGAATGCATTTCCATTTGACCCCAGCAGGCCTTTTAGGTAGCTATCCACCCGCTGGAATTTATATTGGAAAGGCAGACTGCCATAACAGTTTCGGAAAAGAAAATTGGAAGATTCTACCCAATTTCAAGATTCAAAACTACAGCATCAAGAGAGTTGTAAATTCAATTCTTTATAACACAAGGAGAAATGTAAATTCAATTCTTTATAACACACATGCCATCCACCTCCATCTAAAGAGCAAAGAGGATGGATGTGTCCAGTCTGATCTAAGGTCAGTTTGCCTTGTAGATACTATGTAGGAGGGTTTCGGTGCTCACATCTTCAGTTGCGTTTCCATTATCCCATTAATCGTACTACAGAACACAGGGTACTGGGTATATCTCTGTCTCTGGGTCAGCTCACTGTCTAGCGATTGACCTGGATGAACTGCAAAATCATCTCTGCTCTCTAGCTGCCATTTTGGGTTTGCTCACCAGGGATTTCCCCCTCAGGAAATCAGATTGAGTTTGTGTCCCTCTAGTTCCCTTGCTGCAAGATTGTCTCAGTTGCGTTGTCCCTCAACTCAAGATCTCTGCAGCTGAGTATATAAATCTCCATTTTCTGGTAACTGTCCTTTCCTCTAGGTTTCCCCTTTACCCATACCTTTGTAAATAGGGTTTATGTAAATAAGCTCTCCTTAAATTGCGCTATTACACGTATGCCATCTGTTTCTTGTTGGGACCCAGACAGAGTAATTGGTACCAGAAGTGGCCCCAGGAAACAGACTCCTAAAATGAGATTCTAGGATTGGGTTAATTATTTGATGAGCTCAGTGATTACCTTATGAGGGTTGGTGGAGGAGAGGCCAGAAATGGGACATGAGTAATCTGTAGCATACAGTGGCATCACAACTTGAATTTTCACTGGTGGTGGTACCATGGGTTGAAATGCAGGTGAGTAGCGAGGCAACGGGAAATCAAGGGACTGGAACAATTACAGCAATAATAGCCCCTAGAGTACACACGTAAAAATTAGGCTATTAACAAATGAGATCTTAGGAGTAAACTTAGTTACCTCTTTCACTATTGTTTCTAATCACTAGAAAAAAGTTTTCACCCATGAGGTTGGTACATGGAAGGTCCCGGTACCCTAGAAGAGAAAATACATGTTTCTGATGAATTAGAAGTTCAAGCCAGGCTCCACATGCCCCCAAACACCAGGCAAAGAAAGGGGTCAGTCTTAGGAAGAGTGATTAGTTTTGGCCACCAGTGTGAAACAGGTTGCTGCTATGGAATGGGGACAAGGAGGACAGTGTCTAAAATGAGAAGCAACCCTAGAACACTCCTTAATAGTCCAAGTCGATAAAAACTGTAGCAACCCCAAGAGTAAGATGGAAGGTTTGGGTTACACCACCATGTAAAGAGGTCTTTCCAGAAAGGTGCCACCAGAAGTCAAGGAGAGCAGCGGATGGAGATATGAGAAGGCAGCTCCGATGGCCTGCTCAGACCTGTAGCAGCTGCCTGTTGTATACCTTCTCCCTCTTCTGCCTGTTACCTTATCAAGGGAATCCCAGTGGCCCCCGCCAGAATTGTGACCATTGACATCATTCCACTCTGATACCATAGCTGAGTGGACTTTATGGGTCTCCTGTGTTGTAAAGACAAGCTTTTTGCCTGAACAAAGGTCTAGAGAAGATGTTGAGAGGCCAAAAGGGGACCGTGCCATGGACCTTTTGTGTGTCCTGCCAGACTCCACCCTGCCCTCTGCCCCAGAGCCACGTCCACTGCCCTTTGCAGCCTGCTGGAGCTCCACAGGAAATGGGAGGCGAGTGAGTGAGTGAATGAGGTCAGGTTGTTTATTTCCTCCCTGTGAGCTGGCTGTGTCCCTCAACCAATAATCATGTTGTCTCTCACCATCTTGCAGTACCACCCTCTCCCTATGGGTGCCAGTAACTCCCCCCCAACCCCCTTTAGCCTCATGGTGGGATGCTTGACTGCTACTTCACTTGGGTAACTGTACCACCCCTTGTGGTTCCCTGACACCCACGTCTTTTTTGTAAATAAACCCTCCTCGAATTATCCTATTTTGAATGTGCCATCTGTTTCCTGTTGGGAGACTGGCTGAGGCATTGGGTTTTATGCCAAAATTACTCTGAACAGTTTCATATTTGAATGTCAACTTATGCTGCCCTGACATTCCCCTCCCCCGACTAAAATGGGAGCTGTCTTGAGTGCCCTGGAAATGTCTGCCCTATGACACACCACCGGTGAAATAAGACAATATGGTGTCCTCGCATAGTTCCTGGTGCAGACAGACTCCATAAAGGCCAGAAGAATCCCTTCCCTTCCCGCTGCTCCATCACCCTCCTCGCTTCCCCCGGCTCTGCACTACAAGCCAGGCTAGTGTGGTGTGGCACCCTCGGTTTTCCTGTCATGCATGTTAGCTATTTGAGTAGGAAAGGGTTAAAACTAGAGCAGCTTTGCCAAAGATGACTATTTTATTGGAGGTTTTCTCAATTCTTAAATTTTAATACTCTTAAAAAAGCCAAGAAGAAGTGCTAACTAGATCAACATATAGGGAAACAAACAAAACTGGACTCTGGGCAGGTGAAGCTCCAGCCCTGGCAAGCAGGGCAGATTTCCCTCTAAGTTAGTAGCTCTTCAGACTCAGGTTCCCTCTGGAAGATGGGTCCCTTCAGAGGCCCTGCCCCTAACTCTGTTCACGATGTGATTCTTTTTCTTAAAGGGGAACCCCCAAATTGCTTAAGCCTCCAGTTCCATAGAACCTGGATCACCTGCTGGGAAGTGATTATATTTGGTCTCCTCTGAGGAATGCAATGAAGTTGTTTGGGAGACTCGGGAGGTCTTTTGTCAGCCAGTTCATGCCATTAGAAGTCACCCATTCTGGAGGGGCCTCGGGTAGGTGGGAGCTGTGCTCTGGGAGAGCACAAGGCCAGTGCTTTCACCTCACGAGAACTCAGTCTCTGTGTCACCCACAATCAAGACCCGTACATGTGTGGCATTAGATTAGAGAGGCAAACTCTTCCCCAGTATCAACAGGGACAGGATGGGCCCACAAGCACGTACCTTCCAGAATGTGGGGCAACGTTTGACTATGAATTAGCATGTCAAAGGCACCATTCCCCATCTCTGCCCACTGTTGCTTCACTTTATGATGGGGGTGGGGGGAAATATCCTCAGGAAGTAATGGCATTGTGCATAAAGGACATGCGTACAAAGGCATTCTTTCCAGCATTGTTTGTGATAAAAAAGCGGGGAGGGGTGGACTTAAATGCGTATGTTTTATTAAGTGTTAAGTGACAGAGAATTGCATAAATAATCATGGTACGTTCATAGGGTAGGATGCTGTAAGGATGGTAACATTGTATAGCAGGAGACGTGATGACATACAAAGATAAATATGTGGTGGCGGACAGGACCCAGGGCTCCCATACTCTGATGGTCACACTCTGTGTCGTCCCTTTACCCTGAGTGTGGGTGGGAACTGTGACTTGCTTCCTGTCGGTAGAATATGACAAGGTAAAGAATATCACAAAGGTAAAGCGATTTGGCAGATGTTATTAAGTTCTCCAAACAGGTGAGTTTGAAGTCATCAAAAGGGAGATTATGGGGCCTCCCTGGTGGCACAGGCAGTTGAGCGCAGGGCTGTGAAGCTGTCCGCAGCCTCTGCAGTGCCGGTTCAATCCCCAGCGGCCACGGAGCAGCCCACATGGGGCGGCAGACCTCTTCTGCCTCACCCGCTGCTCCCCTCAGCAGTGTACTTCAGTCAGTCTGCCTGTTCTGTTCCCCACTCTGTCTCTGGTGAATCCTCTCACCCTCCCCCACATCTGGCGTGTACCCTGGGTCTTGTATAAATAAATAAATCTTTAAAAAAAAAAGGGGAGATTATGGATAAGCCTGAGTTAAACAGGTGGAAGTCTTTGAAAGAACGTCTAGGCCCTCTCAGAAACTCAAACTCTCTCTGTTGCCAACTTTGAAGACGTGAGCTGTAGGAGAGTGCTTCTGGACAGGCACACATGGGAGTAACCACTAGCTGTCTCCAGGACCTGATTCCACCCCTGGCTGAGAGCCAGGAAAAAGAGGAACCCTAGACCCAGCCTTACAACCATATGGAGATGATTCAGCTAACAACCTGAGGAAACTCAGCAGCTCCAGTTCTGTCACAGGCCTTCAGAGCGGAGGAGCCTTGAGGGAGCAGCCTGTGGTGATTGACAAGGAGAAACTCCAGGAGGCTGACAGCACCTTCCACCCTCCCTCCCTGGAGCACCAGGGAGTGTTTGTCAGCTACAGGTTAAGTAAAGGGAACAACCTTCCCTTGGCCCCTGAGGAGCTGAATGGACTCAAGGGGGAAGAGGGTGTCTCCAGAAGAGATTTTATCCCTACTTCACAAATGAGGAAACTAAGGCTCAAAGAAATCACATGACTTGCCTTCACCCATGGAGACCAAGTGTGGCAGAAGCAGGGT